TAACAAAAGACCCTCGCCATAAAAATATATGGTAGAGTAGCTTATTTAGGAACAGCAGTGTGACCCAGAACCAGTAGCCAGTATAAGATGAAATAAAAACACACAGACTATTGTTTATCTTGGAGCCCCCGTGGTGCAGTGGGTTAAATCACTGAGCTACTAAGCTTGTTGACCGAAAGGTTGCAGGTTCGAATTCAGGGAGCCGCGTGAGCTTCTGCTGTCAGCCCAGCTTCTTCCAGCCTAGCAGTTTGAAAATCTGGAAATGTGAATAGATCAATAGGTACTGCTCCGGTGGAAAGGTAATGGCACTCCATGCAGTCATACCAGCCACATGACCTTGGAGATGTCCATGGTCAACGCCGGCTCTTCAGCTTAGAAATGCAGATGAACACCACAACCCAGAGTCGGACACGACTGGACTTAATGTCAGGGGAAAACCTTTACCTGTTGTTATCTTCCTTTGGTGTCCTTTCTTATAGAAAAATAATATGGTTACAAAAACAAGGTTTCCATAACATAAACAAAATTCTTTATACTTCCTTGTTATATCTTTGCTTCAGCTTCTAGCCTTCACGCTGGGTTTCTCTCATGTAGATTTTATTTATTTATTTATTTATTTATTTATTTATTTATTTATTTATTATTTCTGGTATTTCTATCCCGTTCCTTCTCAACCCCCAAAGGGGAACTTGGGATGGCTTGGCAGGAATTTGATGCCACTGCATATAACAGTGCAATATAATAACAATTAAAACAATAAGTAAAACATTCATCAAAATAGTAAAAAAAAAAACCAGTATTAATAGCCTTATCATCATTCCAGTCAATTCCATATCCAATTCCATGTCCAAAGTGCTATCTATGTCTGTTGTCCAAAAGCCTGGTCCCAGAACCACGACTTCAATTTCTTCCTAAATGACAGGAGGGACAGAGCTGATCTTACCTCAGTGGGAAGCGAGTTCCACAGGCGGGGGGCCACAGCCGAGAAGGCCCTGTCTCTCGTCCCCACCAGACATATTTGTGACACTGGCAGGAGCGAGAGCAGGGCCTCCCCGGATGATCTTAAACTATGAAGCGGGACTTAGAGGGAGATGTGCTCGGACAAGAAATCTGGGCCAGAAGCATATAGGGCTTTATAGGTAAAAACCAGCACTTTGAATTCAGGTCAGAAGTGGACCGGCAGCCAATGGAGCTGACACAACAAGGGGGTGGTGTGCTCCCTGTATGTCGCTCCAGTTAGCAAGATGGCTGCCACCCATCGGACTAGTTGTAATTTCCAAACAGTCTTCAAAGGCAGCCTCACGTAGAGCTTGTTGCAGTAATCTATTCGGGATGTAACAAGAGCAGGGACCACCGTAGCCAGATCAGTGATAAAGAACATACAGTCTTCAAACTGAAACAGCTCTCTCCTTGGAGTAGTCAAACACAGCACTCTTTACACAGAAGGAAGTTTTCACACAGGAGGCGCAAGTAACTCACAGGCACACCTGCTCATATTACCCTACTGGTTTTGGTTAGTCACTGCATCATTTTGATGCTTTCAGTGCCTGTATATCACTTTTTGTAATTAAAAATACACTGGGTTGTTGTAGGATTTTTTGGGCTATAAGGCGATGTTCTAGAGGCATTCTCTCCTGACGTTTCACCTGCATCAGGAGAGAATGCTTCTAGAACATGGCCATACAAAAACCTACAACAACCCAGTGATTCCGGCCATGAAAGCCTTCGACAATACATTAAAAATACATTGTTGATTTTCCGTATTTCTGACAAAAATTCCCCCACACATGCAAAAATATTGTGGAAGTCATGGTGAATGGCAAATTGGTTTCAATCTCTCACACATCCCTCTCTTTTAGCAAATGAAATTTTCACCAAAGAGATGCAAAATTTGAAAAACTATGTTACAATGTATGAAAATGCTCATAGAGCAAATATTCAAACTTTTGCATGCAAGAATATGGTATTTGTACTGTTTCTGGTTACAAGACTGTCATCTAGCACCTCATCACATTAAGTCACCTAACAGCGGGGGGATTCACTGGGCATTTCAGCAAATCCGTGGAGCAGCCGGAAAATCTGGCACCCTGTTCCACATAGCTCCCACAGTACTGGCAGTGGGGAAAATCCTCCACCACACCTGAAATTGGCAGATTAGTATAAGGTATCAAAATAAGGTCAAAATACATGGTGTTCTGTTCTTCAGAGGAGGAAATCGGTGAGAGGAAACAGCCGAGCCATTTCTGCAGCTTCCCACTCCTTTCTTCTCTCACATAAAATTCCTGCGCAATGACAGTGTCAGCCTGGGCTATTAGATGCCTCCTTTTTCAAGGAGCTGTATCCAATCAGCCACACTCCCTACCTAGTGTTTTCACATGAGCAGCATGGGATGGGACAGAACTATTTGAAGGCGTCCAGCTTGCCTTCCCTCAGGAACACCCAAGCTTCAACACTTCCATCAGAAAGTACAGACTGCATGTAGCTATTTAATAAGACTCCAAAAATCATCCTTCTGTCATGTTTACTTCCCTGAATGCTCAGGAGAAATAGGTGGGAGGGCTGGATGCCTCGCAAGTGCTCAGTGGAGACATAGCAGAGAAAATTGTTAACTAACTCTTCCCTGGTCTGGCACATTTGTGAATCTCTAGTTGTACTGGAACATACTCAGGTTATAGTTCCTCTCCAGAATTGATCATATATTTTAAAAAGCGTGTGAAAGTTACACATTTCTCTGGAGTTTAGCTTTTTTTAAAAAAAAATTATTCCTTATCTATTCAGCTATGTTTGTAGTGAGGACTTACGACAGCAAATTATTTTTTCCAACTGACTCCACATCTCTTACACCTATATGACAGGTTTGTGCTACTTTCATACCAATGATATGGTCATATCCTTGCATTTTCCCAGAGTATATGGATAGATTTTTGTCCAGATGGACTACAACTCCTGTTGCTCCTTACCTTTAAAGCTTTGGGGAACCATAGCCCAGAAATAACTCAAAGATTCATTCATTTTATATCTGGAGACCCCGATGGTGCATTGGGTTAAACCCCTGTGCTGGCCGGACTGAAGACCGACAGGTCGCAGGTTCGAATCCGGGGAGAGGCGGATGAGCTCCCTCTATCAGCTCCAGCTCCTCATGCGGGGACATGAGAAAAGCCTCCCACAAGGATGATAAAAAGACCGACATCAATTCATCCGGGTGTCCCCTGGGCAACGTCCTTGCAAACAGCCAATTCTCTCACACCAGAAGCAACTTGCAGTTTCTCAAGTCGCTCCTGACACGACCAAAAAAACCCAACATTTTATATCTTACCTTTTCCATACCATGGAACCCGAGGTACAAAATCCAAATAAATGTTTAGCTTTTAAAAGTACTGTTACAAAAGTTATATAATAATTCAACTTTAGTTCTGCTTAAAAATAGTTTAAAACAATTTTAAAATTCCTGTATTTGGATTGGAGTCTGGCAATGAATGATGATGCTTTAGGCTATATTTCAGAGGAAGGAACTAGTAAAGCCATCCCTTACCTAAGATAACCCAATGCAATTCATGGGACCACCACAAGCTGATATGTGATGTGAAAGCAAGCACACATGCAGCATACTTAAAAACACACCAAAACGAGCATATAATTTTAAATGATATTCTGCAAAATGATTAAGATTAGTAAAGGTAAAGGTTTCCCCTGACATGAAATCTAGTCATGTCCAACTCTGGGAGATAATGCTCATCTCCATTTCTAAGCTAAAGAGTCGGTGTTGTCCAAGGTCACGTGATCAGCATGACTGCATGGAGCACCGTTACCTCCCTGATGGAGCAGTACTTATTGATCTATTCACATTTGCATGTTTTCAAACTGCTAGGTTGGCAGAAGCTGGGCCTAACAGTGGGAGTTCACCCTGCTCCCTGGATTCAAACCGCCAACGCTTCTGTCAACAAATTCAGCAGTTCAGCGGTTTAATCCACTGCACAACCCAAAAATTAATAAAAGGCCTATCTAAATAATAATAAAAACAAAGCAGGAAAAAATTTACTGAACTTCTATATGAAGAGAGGAAAGAGAACATGGAAGCATTAACTCAACCTCAGATACTTATCAGCCACTGAAAGGTTCTCACATGATCTTACTAGCCATGATGGAAAAGGTGGCAAAATCCTTCTCTGAAAATCTTAAAATTGGGGATGGCTTGTATGAGATATGGGCATTGATTTATTCTGGACTCAAACCATGGGAGGCTCTTTGAATTCTGCCTGGAAATGGATTGGGAGCCCGTGAAGCTGTTTCATCAGTGCTTTAACAAGGTGCAAGTAAGCAGGTAACTAAATAGGAACAAAGATACAGATAAAATCAATTCCCATTATTAATGACACTCAGAGTCAATCAATAAATGGTAAGTCACAATCTAGGTATACCTCATTGATTCAGTGGGTCTGTTCTTGTTGGCATCTGCAATTGGGTTTGGCCACAAAAATATTATTTAAAGGACACTTTTAATTATTATGATTACTATTATAATAATTACTACAGAGAGCCAATACGGTGTAATGGATTCTGGCTGACTCGGGCAAGTCACAATCTCTCAGCCTCAGAGGATGCCAAAAGCAAACTTCCTCTAAATAAATCTTGCCAAGAAAACCCTAAAATAGGGTTGCTGGAAGTGAAAGCACAGAGCAGCAACAAATAGTGTTATTAATAGGCAAGGAGCTCTATCTCGGCAGTCATATATCTGTCAACTCAGAACTGCTGGAAAGTCTTTATAACCTGTAGGCTTCCTCTGTTATTTATGCTACCGGGGGAATGCTTCCCCTTGGATGTGATCCATACCATCTCAGGAAGTATCATTCATACAAAGCCTGTAATCACGATATCCCCTAAGTGAAGAAAAGGTAGTTCTCATCAGTGTATTGTGGCTGAAAGACGTTATGGTCTAAGAAATTTGTAGAAGTGATAGAGATTCTTGTGTCATTAAAAAATGTTTTGGCATTTTTCCTCAGCTGAACCACCCTTCACAGGGGTTTCGCTTTGGAACGGTGCGAGAAAGCAGCGCTGAGGATTATTTCAAGCAAAGCTTCCCTGATATGCATGAGTACATGAAAAGGTTCAATGTGCCTGCAACTCCTGATGGAATAGACTACCTGAAGTAAGTGTGCACTCTGGGATACATGATCCAACTCAGATATGACTATAACGTTTCGGTGGGTGATCATAAAACCAGTGGGCTCCTTTGCTTTGGAGTCACACAGTCCACACCAATAGCTTTCAGAAGGTAACAGAGCTGACTCCTGCCAGTTTATATTATTGAAAGGTTGAGCATTACAATGAACTGAAAGGACAAGGCAGCCACTTGTCCTTCTTTATCTCTGTTTGAAGGGCTTTCAAAAGACAGTCTTCTGCCCGAGTATATCCTTTCTTCAACGGGCTGTCTAGTCCAATTTCAGATCAAAGATCCAGAGTCATGTGGAGGGAAAGCAGAAGGGCCCCCAAAGTTGTCCATCAGCAACTAGACAGCAGAATGAGAAGGGTCCCAAAGTTGTCCATCGACACCTAGACAACACAATGAGAAGAGTCCCCAAAGTTGTCCATCGACACCTAGACAGACAGCACAATGAGAAGGGTCCCCAAAGTTGCCCATCAATACCTAGACTGCACAATGAGAAGGTCCCCAAAGTTATCCATAGACACCTAGACAGCACAATGAGAAGGTCCCCAAAGTCATCCATCAATACCTAGACAGCACAATGAGAAGGGTCCCCAAGGTTGTCCATCGACACCTAGACAGCAACCTAGACAGCACACTGTTCTTCAGGTTCTTGCTACACTATGATGGTCAGGTATATTGGATGCCCATTCAGCAGTAGTTCCTATATTTAAATTTGTATGTGTATCTTAACATATTCAAATTTTATACTAATGTGTATTGACAATCTCTATTTGATCTCTTGGTGGTACACAAGTAGTCAAACTAAGATGGAAGCTGGAAAAGGGAAGCCTGCTCTTACATTGTATGGAGGGCCTTGTTTAAGGGAAAGGAGAGAGAGAAAGAGAATCTCACAAGCAGAGTAATTGGCATTCAGAAAGCAGAAGGTGAACAACAACCAATGTCATACCACTATCACCACCCATGCAGAAGATTTAGCAAATAAATAAAGCAAGCTAACTCATCTTTGTTCAAAAACACATGAGATAAAATGTGTAACATAAATCTATTCATGGAGAAAAGAGAGAGGACCATTCAGGCTTCAAACACTGACAAACTGCAGATTAACTGATGCAGGAAGAGAGAATATATGGCTAAGACCAACAATCAGTCATACATACTATGACAACATTCTTAAGGAGACATGCAAATTAACAACTATTGAACACAGACATACTAAGGTTGTTATCTCGAACATCACGTCACACCAGAAGTGACTTGCAGTTTCTCAAATCTGACATGATAAAAAAAATCTTGAACATTGTTTGCATGCAAAACAATTCAAAGAGCTCTGAAAATGACGGTCAGTAGGTGCTAGGCCTCACTTTATATTTTAATACATTTTTAAAGAAAAAATGCTGCCTAGGAACATAGCACTTTGCAGAATTATCTGTCCTTGTGCATTGATTGTGCTCAGTTCACAGTTTACTGTCATACAACAGAAAGGAATGGGAGAGGCAAAATTAATAAAGGGAATCCATACAAATTCATTTACATATATATAGTCTGCAGTGTTGTGTAATTCACCTATGAAATCAGTGTAACTTAATTCTGAGTTGAGAAACCATAGATCCCAGAAAAGAGCTTTAGGTTGTGGATTGAAGTTTCAATGTAGTGTCATCATGTGCTTATTCCAGATGTTTTATTAAAGTTTAGGTGATTTCACAGAGAATTATGTCACTGTGCTGTAAATCAGGAGTGGGCTGCCCCATGCTCTGGGCCCAATACCAACAGCTGTCTGCTGTATGTTCAGACCTTTGGCAAGATTCATCTGTCTCCTAGCAGTCTGCTGAGAAGGAAGGAGGGCAGAGGAGAGGAAGAGGGAACCACTTGACAGATTACTCTTGAGGGAATTCAGACTTCAACAGAAAAAAAATGGCTTCCCATCCCACTGTGGTAGGGCATTGCCATGAATAGTTGGTTGAGTTCTGCCCACACGCTTAACCTTGGGAAACTGTCAAAAACTAATTCAAGTTCAGTAGAAGTTTGCTACTGTTAGAAAAGCCTACAAATTCTCTCTCCAGTTACAGCAGTGGTTCTCAACCTGGGGGTCCCCAGGTGTTTTGGACTACAACTCCCAGAAATCCCAGCCAGTTTACCAGCTGTTAGGATTTCTGGGAGTTGAAGGTCAAAACATCTGGGGAACCTCCAGGTAGAGAACCACTGAGTTACAGGTTATGTCTAAAATTAAGTGGATTCAGTGCTCTGCTCAGCTGCTGCAGGGACTCTCCGTGTTGCATAGCTAGATTTGCAGCAGAACCACTGCATCCAGCCAATGGAGTATGGGATTTAATCCAATGTGATCCCAGAGTTTCAGAAGTATAGAAAGATGGAAGTAACCCGATCGATTGCCCACATCTCAACAGACCTACCTCTGTGTCACTGCTAGCAAACAGACGTCGCATTTCTGGTGATGTCATACTAGGGCATCCAGCCATGTGACTGGAAATGCGACATCACCAGTTAGTATTTGGGAGGGAGTTGCTTGTTGGTATTGACACAGCGACAACAGCCCCAATGCACCTCACTCCAGCCAGCTATGTGGACAGCCAAACAGGTTTAGAGAAGCTGCTAGGTTTCACCAGCATAGCTCTGTAGCATTTCCAAAAATCCAAATTAATGTGAAAGGTATAAATTTGGCCAAAGTATCTTTTTTTGAACCACCCTCATTTGCAGTGAAAGAGGTAAACATTTTCTTAACTCTCTTGGTGGGCATAATCCATATCTACTAGTCTTAGCCTTCTAAGAAGAAGTCACAGTGATTCTAATTTGTAAAGTCTTTCTTGATCTTCTATTTTTTATTTAAAAACAGTTTTAATAGTTTATTTCAATCACAATGTATTTTTAACATCTTGGTTTCATTACATAGAGGCAGAGAGGTTTTTTTAATTAGTTGTCAGTTGCTTGCTATGTATTCTGACCTTAGCACTAAATGCTTGTGTTGTTGACTTATTAATTAGATTTCACTTCGATTTTCCCCCACTTTGTGTATATCAGAAGTCTTCAAAGGATTTAGTCAATTAGATCTAGTGCTCCTTTGCAGATAAAATAAGTCCTGTCCAAATGGGTAAATTGTACAGTTTCTTGCTCCCCTGCAGAGTGATTTTTTGTGATTTTTAATGCTTTGATTTACAGGCAAGATCCAGAGAAACTAGATGCCTTCATCATGGATAAAGCACTCCTGGATTATGAAGTATCAATAGATGCTGACTGCAAGCTTTTGACGGTGGGGAAACCCTTTGCTATTGAAGGTATGAAAAAGCTGCCTACCAATACAGCCTATTCAGCAGAACTGCTGCTCTCGTTGATAATGTTATGTGTTTCTTTTACAACCTTTGGAGCCACAAAACAGTTTAAAACACTAAAATAACTATAAAATGTGAAATGTTTTGATAATAAAAACAGTAAAAAAATTAGAAGTATAACAATAAAAAATGTGCCAAGAGGCAATGTGGGGATAAAGAACCTAAATGAATAAAACAAGTAGTTCATGAGGGGTTAGCCTAGGATGTATAGCTTCCTCCGCTGCAGAGAGGAGACACCATTTATGCCCATAGAACTCTATTGTCAGCAATAAGCAGAAGTTTCTGAAATTCTGGGGGCAGGAAATAGGCATTTCTGAGGCAGCTTTGGATGGACTATCTCTAAAGCACAGAAATCCACATCATCATTAATTCTCTTTTGAAAGCGTTGGGGTAGAACAGAGGGGAAACATCACCCCTCATGTCTACTTTCAAGAGTTTCACTCCTTCCTGAGTCTGACATTACCAGGACAGCCTTTTGAACTGGCCAATCGCATAACCAAAGAAAGATTCCACCCATTACATCCTTATCCTTCAGGACCCATAAGGGTACAAGTGAAGGTTCCCTGGTAATTAAGGCTCAGTCAGGTAGACTTCATGTAGCCACTGTCTGTTGGCAGTCTCAGTCAGATACCATTAGACACCTCTCCTAAAGGACCATCTTAAAATTGTAACCCAGTTGTTGGCTGGAAATGAAATGCTTTATTCTATTTGTCCAATTCTTTCTATCATTGGGAGCTGTGCTGTATTGAGACTGACATTAAGATAATGCAAAGGGTGGCTTGAAAGTCCAGCCTGCCAACAGCACTTTCCTAAGACCTTGGAACACATTAGCAGCCATTAGACTGAAGTCTTTTTGCTCCTGCGAAGGATAAGCAGAGTTGGAAATAATCAACACACACACACACACTTTCCACAGCAATCTATCCACTGAACCCTGTGCCAAACCTAGTACTTCACCAATCCGCACACTTGACATGTTCAGTGAAGCTGCAAGATGTCTGGTTGGCTCATCCATAATTTTAAGTGCTCCTGTTTCAATAACTTCAGAGATTTTGCAGATCAGTCAGAAAGTTCAAGTAAGTAGACTTTGAAGAGTTTGCTGTGATTCCGAAATGTCAGATACACCAGATATGGGAAACCTGTAATTCTTCAGATATTGATAGATTATAGTACCCATCAACCCTAACCATTGGCTGGAATTGATAGGAATTGAAGTCTAACTGCACTAAATGGACTTTATTTTCAAGGGCTCCCTATGTGAAACCCCTTGCAAGCTGTTACTAGCTCAGGGAGAAGAAGTCTAAGCTAAAGTCTTTTTCTCTATTGCACAAGTTTTCCTCCGAGTTTCCAAGAAGTTTCTGGAGTAACCATTATATGATTAGCAATAAATAATGGCCAGGGGTGCTGCTTCCTAGAGCCTTACAACCTCTTCCCAATTTCATTTGTTGATGATGTTATTTAATTTACATAAACCAATTACATTCAGAAAATGCACCTATAGAGTTGCCCGTAGGAGGCAATTATTGAATTTACCCTGATCTTATTGTTGTAGGTCTGATGGAGATTTAGCTTGTTGAGTGTACCAAAGTGTGACAAAGAGCCTGAATCCAAGAACTGGCTTCCTTATATATTGGTTTTGAAGTGCCATCTCTTAAAAGCATAACTGGACTGTTTCACGAACTAATCCTCTAGGTGCCAAATTGAAACCCACAAAATATCCTCAGTGTGGTCTGTCTTTCCATGAGTCTGAATCCAATTTCCTCTTCCACTCCTTGGCAGAATTGGACTTTAACTTTCTGTAGCATAGCTTTTTCTTTTCCTATATATGCACTTAGTTGATTAGAATGGGCAATCCCCTACAGCGGGCCAGCTCAGCTCTCTAAATATAGTTTTATACTACACATTGCCTAATTTCTTAGTTGTATAATGCAGCACTGAAGCTGCCATGCTCCTGCTCCTTTTCAGTTTAGTGCTCATGGCTTAGTAGGCTACTATCCTACCACAAATAGCCATGAATCTGTGTGTGTTAAAAGGATGATTATACAAGCAATTAGCGGTTTCCCCCCGCTGGGTAATTGCAGACTCTTTTGTGAATTCACCCACTTAATAGACACAAGTTTTCTTTTGCTTTTCAAATTTGTGTGAGCCTAATGTTCTTCTCCTTTTGTCAGAAGCTCTCAGTTCACTCAGCAGTACTGAAACAGTTTACAGTGCAGCCATGCACAATACAGATTTTCATTCCCTTTGCAACCCTTTCTTTATATTGAGTGGAAGAATGTGTGTAGTACCACTGAGCTAACATCAAACCAGTATTAGATTTTTCCTAGTTGACCCAAAGCACTGTTCCTATCACAGTTTAAGGGGCACTCACAACTACCAACTGATAGGGCAAGCAATTGACTACTTCAAGACTAGAAATAGTGTGTTTGAGATAGCGACCTTCTCAAGCCGCCTCTATTTAATGTTTTGGCTGTTTATAATATGTCATTTATTTCCTGAAGGATATGTCTTCTTTGGTTTGCAGTTATCTTAGCTCTATGTACTTGAGGCAGTGGGAGGGGCTGCAGACCAAGTGACTGGTTCAGTGACTGTTTAGATGCAGTTTTAAAAGGATGACAATTGAGGAATGACAGTTGAGGCTTGAGTCAGTTTGAGTACAGAAGCCAGTGTAGGAAGTTAGAAAACTGTTGAGGCTTGAGTCCCATGGAAGTAGACTGTTATGAAAGAGAGCTGTACAGAGTAATATAGTTTTGAAGAGACTGATAAAGGCTATAAGTTAAAGATACAAACTGAAACATTTTAAAACAAACATGTTATTTTAAAGAACTCTCCTTGAATCTTTGTCTGCTGAGAGCATCAAATAGAAACAAGATATTTACGTGCCCAGTGATCATCCACTGCCCAATAAACTAAAAGAACACTTCTGAAATTCTGCAAATAGGTTATGATCCTCACAGGTCATAATCTAGATCCCAGTGTAGTATAGAATCCTCTATTGCTTCAGAGGGCAGAAGACTGGCAAAACAGAGTAATTGGCACACACAGCATTTTCCTCCTTTGCTTCCATCAGCATCTACTGCCATTTTCATGCAGTATAACAAGAGTGCCATGCCAGAAATCCCTACAAAAGCAGCTGAGAACCTTCATGTCTGGATGAAAATCTTGGCTATTTTCCCCCAAATAATTTACTTCTGCCATTTGTATGACACCTCAAAATAGGGCCGAGGAAATCAATCTAGAGGCTAATTGGATGCAGAATAACTGTAATACTGTATAATCAAAAGCAATGTAATATAAAAGAAGGAAAAACTCACCGCAAGCACAACATGCACTATGCAGATTTGTAAATCTCCTGCCCAAATTAGCTATATTTAGGGACTACTATCATTTCCCCAGAGTCTGGTAGGCAACATCACTCTGGAGGGGACCCTGAGCCAGACGGTATGTCAGTTCCTTCACTGTCAGCACCCAGAGATGGGTCCCTGAAGGCATGAATGAAGCTCTTCCTTCTGCTTCCACCATCACAGAAGATCCTTTCAAATGCTTTCAATCCTATAATCCAATAAAGTAATCCCTTTAAGAACTGCAGTTAGTAACCCACAGGGTTGAAGCTTTTGGAGGATTTGGACCTGCTAGTTTCAGCATACTTCAATGGCCAGCTGAAGCGACAAGACTTTTGTGGAGGATCTTCTGCAGTCTCAAAATATTTGTATAGTGCTGTCCAGGGTCCTGAAGAGTCATAGAATCATAGAGTTGGAAGAGACCTCATGGGCCATCCAGTCCAACCCCCTGCCAAGAAGCGGGAAAACTGCATTCAAAGCACCCCCGACAGATGGCAATCCAGCCTCTGCTTAAAAGACTCCAAGGAAGGAGCTTCCATCACACTCCAGGGCAGAGAGTTCCACTGCTGAACAGCTCTCACAGTCAGGAAGTTCTTCCTAATGTTCAGATGGAAACTCCTTTCTTGTAATTTGAAGCCATTGTTCCACAGTCTAGTCTCCAGGGCAGCAGAAAACAAACTTGCTCCCTCCTTCCTATGACTTCCTCTTACATATTTATACATGGCTATCATATCTCTTCTCGGCCTTATCTTCTTCAAACTAAACATGCCCAGCTCTTTAAGCTGCTCCTCATAGGGCTTGTTCTCCAGACCCTTGATCATTTTAGTTGCCCTCCTCTGGACACATTCCAGTTTATCAACATCTCCCTTCAATTTTGGTACCCAGAATTGGACACAATATTCCAGGTGTGGTCTAACCAAGGCAGAATAGAGGGCTAGCATGACTTCCCTGAATCTAGATGCTATACTCCTATTGATATAGGCCAAAATCCCATTGGCTTTTTTGCCGCCACATCACATTGTTGGCTCATGTTTAACTTGCTGTCCATGAGGACTCCAAAATATTTTTTACATGTACTACTCTAGAGCCATGCGTCCCCCATTCTGTATCTTTGCATTTCATTTTTTTCTACCTCAGTGGAATATTTTGCATTTGTCACTGTTGAACTTCATTTTGTTAGTTTTGACCCATCTCTGTAAACTGCCTTCCCATGCATCACATCTAGGTTGAGTATCCCTTATTCAAAATGCTTGAGACTGGAAGTGTTTGGGATTTTTTTATTTTTATATCTAAACTGTTACATGTTTAGATACACAACCAAATTGTGCCAGATGAATTCTTGGACTGTTAATACAGCATATAGTACAAACTTAATAAAGAGACTCTAGGATAGGATTCTGGAGACAGAAATCCCAACTCATTCAGTGAATTTTACACAGATTTAAGCTATTGGGGCTTTTCTCCACCTAGAAATGATCTCAGTGATTAAACAGTGCATGGAGATAGTAGTGCTTCATTTAATCCCATTGGTGATGCATGTAAAGTGATAGACTTAAGTGGAAGCTGTAGTTTGGCCAAGGAATTTGGGGATTCTACATGCAATGACTTCAATCTAATCGTGACTTCCATTCCCAGTTATGGGATTTGTACACATTTTCACATTGATTCAGTTGGTCTATTCTAGTCTGAACTAGCAAATGGATTGAGGCTAGTTTACTCACCCTTCAAACACACCATACACCAAGAGCAGCGGATGACATATGTATGGCTGATCCACAACAAAGATGCCTGGAGAAAAAGAAAGAAATGAATGTATATGTGTTCACATAAAAGATTAAGATAGCCAGATGGTTGTGGGTGTAAATCTATGTACAATAAAAAGGGAATAGTTGCATATAATTACACTTCGATTGGTATGGTACTGTTAGGGCAATATGACTGCTTAGTTGCAGTCAACTTAAAGACCATAACACTATTGAGAACTATATTTGTATTATTTTATTATTGCTTATTTGATATGGGAAATGTTTAATTTCGCTGAAAGCCACTGCTGGTTTCAGTGACTCATAGATGGATCAGCAACCAACAAAATCTGGCCAAATAAATGATAAAAACTCTTATTGTACTCAATGATATAAACATTTCATCTTCAAGTGATTTTTCTCCTTTGGCACAATGAAATGCTGTATAGGAATTAGAATGCATTTTGAATACATCAGAAAAAGAAAAGAATCGTATCGATTGTTTCTCATTTAAAGAAAATTAAGTCACAAGTTCTATACATTGGCTATGAGAATAAGGTTGATACCAAGACATCAAATTAAGTGACAATTTACATAATAAGAGTTCAGAATGATACTTTAAAGGGAGTCATTTAATTTGTCCTGACTTTGGTGAGCCACCTTGTTCAGCAATGTCATTCAGAAATGGCTCGTACCATTTAGAAAGATACATTGGGATGCATCTACACTGTAGAATGAATGTAGTTCTGCCATCACTCAATGCTATCAAATTAGGGGTGGTTTTATAATGTAGTTCTATAAGGTTCCTCTGCGGAATAGTGCTGCTGCCTCACTAAACTACAAATCACAAGATTCCATAGCATTGAGCCATGGCAGTTAAAGTGCTGTCAAACTGCATGACATCTATAGTGTAGATGCACCTGCAGTTAGTTACTCATTTCTACAGCTTTGTTACCATTGCTGTAATTAGGAGGGTTATCCAGAAAGTAAGGTTACAAGGCACTAAGTCTTGCGGGGAATGTTCTCAGAGGAAGTTGGTATCACTGCCGTGTAGCAGGAAGCCAGCAGAAGCAAACAAACATTGCCAGTCATCAGTAGCTCATTGACTGGCATTGTGGTGAAGGTTAGAGATGAGGATCCTCATTCCATTTCCCTCCAAGTGCAAAGTTTGCTCTGTAGTACGCTACCTAAATGCTAAGAATATGAATGCCACTGTGATTCATCACAAAATCATTTCAGTTTATGGAGAGAAGGTAATGTCAAGATAGTATGTGACAAAATGTGTATGGAATATATTTTGAGACCATGAAGAAACTTCACAAAGCCATTGAAAACAAAAGTCGTGGAATGCTGATGGTGGGAGTCTGTCTCCTGCATGACAATGCACATGCAGCACAAGAGTTACTGACTTCATTTGGTTGGGATGTTTTAAGTCAATTCTCACAGCCCTGATCTCACACCCAGTGACTATCATTTGTTCACTAAATTGAAGGAACACTTTGGTGAAAAACACTTTTCCTTTTTTGTAACTGTTTTTGTTGACACTTTTTCACAAGAAAAGATTTCAGAGAAAGAAAATTCAATTGAAAGCGAGGGAACAATATGTTGAATAGAAAGTAGGAAAGTGAAAAAAGTGAAAAGAAGAAGAAGAAGAAGAAGAAGAAGAAGAAGAAGAAGAAGAAGAGAAAAAACACTTTTCTGATGACGAGGAGATACTCCACAGGCAGAAAAAAATGAAATGCAAAGATACAGAATGGGGAACGCATGGCTCGAGAGCAGTACTTGTGAAAAAGATCTTGGAGTCCTCATCTGTTGGGGATGCTTTGAATGCAATCTTCCTGCTACTTGGCAGGGGGTTGGACTGGATGGCCCATGAGGTCTCTTCCAACTCTATGATTCTATGTTATCCTGGCTTCAGAACAAGGCAGCCATTCCCTCCCATTGGTGAGAAAGCATTAGCACACTCAGTAATTAATAAGAGTCCGAAGCCTGCTCTCATTCCATAGAAAAGTTCACAACACTTTTCTATGGCAAAAGGTATTCATTGCAGACTGTTATTGCAATAAGAATAATTAAAGAACTAACCCATTAGAAGGATGGGTTCTTTTCCATCTCCAAAATTAAGTATACAGAAAGAATTTTGTTGCTTTGTAGGGAAATAAACAACCCCCAAACATTCTAATTCAATGATGCAACCGAAGAATCTGTCTCTAGAGACTCTGAGGCAGAGACTGGCTTTTAAATTAGATTAGTCTTAATTCAGTTTGTATTTTGTTCAACAACCACATGTCAAGTCATGCGTAGGCAAGCTGGAGAGCTTTCAGGGAATTGTGAGAAACCAGGTGTCGGGTAAAGTTTGGAAAACAGATTGCTCTTAATATAAAAAAGTATTTCAACATTTGTGAAGAAAATTATCAGTCTGCAACTTACAAAAAAAAAGACAAGAAACTTTCAGAATCCCTTGGCATTCATGGCTACTGGTATCTCACAATGAGAATTCTGGGCGTTTTTTAAAAAATAACTGTTCTGAACTTTGCTTATTTCTGCCACTCAGAAAACTCAGGCTGACCATCCCTTGAGGCATGAACTGCATTTGGGTTCACAACCTCTTTATAAGCAACTTGGGTGATGGAGTAGAATACCTGCCCATCAGATTTGGAATTGGTCCCAAACTGGTAGCTAATATATTTGAAGAAGGTAGGAAGATGCAGAAAGAGAGCTTTCACACTACAAAATTATACTCCTATGATTCTATCTTAACTGTCATGGAAACATGGTATGATATCCTGGGTCTTTTAATATGGTAAGGCACAAGGCTAAAGACTGCAGAAAGCTACATGATTCCCTAATATTGGCCCATGAAAGTGGAATCAAACTGCATTCATTCTACAGTGCAGATGCACCTTCAGACTCTAAGACAACAGGGTTTGAATTCTTGCTCAGCCATGAAAAACCACTGGGTGACTATTGATAAGTCACAGTCTCCCAAGCTATTCAATTAAAAACTTCCACTAAAGACTTCATCACACGCAATAAAATCAGCATTTCTACACATTTAAGAAACGGCTACCTATGGAGCCCATCATATGATGCAAGCTCACACTATGGGTTCCAGGTATTTTGCCATTTCTAAAGTGTGTTCTTCCTAAATTGATTAGCAATTGACTTCTTTTTTTAATTCCCTATGTGGAGACATGCAAAAATGTGAAATTTAATGTACATTGATAATTCCCTATTGTCTGCTTGTAAAGATAATGGTGATATCATTCTGGAGGGAGGAGCCTGGATGGGCAGTAGATAATCCTTTGTTCTGCCATGATCTTAGAACCAAGGAGGAAGAAACAGTAATTTATATATTTTTAACAATATAAATTCAACAGAATTACCTTTGGAATTTATCAGTATCTCTACTTATAAATTATAATATACAATAATATAGAATAGAGGTAAAGGTAAAGGTATTCTCCGGACATTAAGTCCAGTTGTGTCTGACTCTGGAGGTTGGTGCTCATCTCCATTTCTAAGCCGAAGAGCCTGCATTGTCCGTAGACACCTCCAAGGTCATGTGGCCAGCATGACTGCATGGAGCGCCATCATAGAATAGAAGAAATTCAATTTAATGATCTCATGTTAAAAAGTACTTTAGTAAGAACAAACACAGAGGATTTCTTCAAGTAAAAGAAAACAGGGGAGAAGACAGTGAGAGGAGAACGTTTCTCATGGGATGGGAAGGCAAATTGATAATTGAAAAGAAAACTGAACTAAGGAAAACATGTGATGGGGGCAGGAAAATCATTTGTTTAATTTCCAAATGGGACATTGCAAAGCTTAAGGGGGAAACAATGATCCCCAATGCTTTACTTATTATGTGGGATGAAGTCCTAACTCAGTTTGCAGGGTTGCTATAAGACAGAGTCACTTGAAGGCACACAGCAGCAATGAAATGTTTGATGCTGTCAGAGGACCAATCCTTGGACATCTGATTGGTGGTTGAAAATGGAGCACATGGCCATTTCTATGTGAGTTTGTTGAGCATGACACAAGAGAAGCTTGGACTTTGTAAGGCGAAACAACAACGTTCCACTCAGCACTTTTATAAGAATGTGGCTCACTACTGAACTGTAGATGCTTCACATGGTAGATTGAAATTCTTCCAGCCAGCAAATCTAAAGCAACTCTGACAAGGATATTATTTATTTATTTATTTACCGCATTTGTATACCACCTTTCTCCAGAGGTGACTCAAGGCAGTTCACAGTCGACAGGGATTCGATGCCATAACAAATATCAAAATACAGTTAAAACAATTGTAAAAACAATTCAGCATTTAAAATGTAATGTAAAAAGCAAATATATCTACAAATATACCTTCATCCATGGAATGCTATTACTCCTCTACTGTTTTGATGCCAATTGCATACTAGTTGTCAAAAGCTGAGATGCTCCATTATTTCTTTCCATTATTGCAAAAAGATTGAACAAAACCGTACAAAACTGTTCTCCTTAAAACTACATTGATTTCCCCCCTGTCTTTCCTAGGGTATGGTATTGGCCTTCCTCCAAACTCTCCACTAACCTCAAATATCTCTGAACTGATCAGCCAGTATAAATCTCATGGCTTCATGGATGTCTTACATGACAAATGGTACAAGGTAGTGCCCTGCGGGAAAAGAAGCTTTGCTGTGACGGAGGTAAGAGACGCACCACCATTATCGGCTTGGCACTGTCTTGTGTTTGCTCAGAATGTAGATGCTTTCCTGCCTTCAAGCAGAGACTGTCATATGGCAAACTGGGAAGGGAGAGCAGCTCATTAGTTTCATTATAAAAGGAACTGTTGCTTGTAGAGCAGTTGGAAGAAGGGAGAGGAAACAGAATTGGGGTCTAAAGGCACATGATTTGTTGTCAGTCACAAGATGTTTGAATTACGTTTGTGCGCATGTGTGATGTCTGAGTATATCCCTTCGCTCCACTTTGCCTCTTTCCATCTCTATCTAACTCTGTTACTATTTCTACCTGCCTCTATGGCATGCATCTATACCAGCGGTTCCCAACCTTTGGTCTTCCAGGTCTTTTGGACTTAACACATGGTATGATGGCTGGGATATCTGGGAGTTGAAGTCCTAAACACCTGGAAGACTAAAGGTTGGGAACCACTGATCTACACTGTAGAATTAATGCATTTTGACACAACTTTAATTGTCATGGCTCAATGCTATGAAACAATAGGAGTTGTAGTATTACAAAAAAAAATTAGCTTCCTTTGCCCAAGATTGCTGGTTCCTCAAAATAAATCAACACTGTAGAGCTTAAAAGCTTTGGTGTCACTTTCTGGCCCAGCTTTTTTTTTTATTGGTTTGTTGGTTGGAGCAGAGAAGTGTATCTGAAAGTCAATGAAATCCGTAGGGCTTCAGCCATATCTCCAACTGCTTTCCAAAAGACATATTGAAAGCCAGGTGCTATCCAGGTTATCCAATAACAACACGAACATGTCTCAAATGAAATGTTCTTGGGGGACTGCCAGTTTTTAAATGCCATATGCTTGCATTGAGCAAACAGTTTAATCTGTGATCCATTGGTGCTTTCTGTTTTGGAACATCATCCTCTTAGACAAAACACAGTAAGTAATGGATGTTAGTTTACCGGAAAGGTGGAGACAGGGGCAACCTAAATTTGCCAAGAAAAACACAAGCTTGTAAAATGCTAAATGGATATTGGTGCTTGCTTGTTTTTTGTGTTGTTTTTTTTTGTCTCTCTCTAAAGTGAAGGGCTTTTGCGGTTTGAAAAAGTGAGCCTAGCAGGATTCTTTTTTTAATAAAAACCTTTTTCACCACTCTGCATTAAAAGTGGTTAACAGCATTTTGCTATTGGGTGATGTTAAAAACTGAGCAAATTAGAAGCAAGGTGGTAGTATTTATCTCTTCTGGAAGATAGACATCTAGTGGCATTGTGGAAACACTGCACAAATTGGCCAATGGAAGGAAAAAAAATGTTTTAAACCCTGACTGGCATTTAGAGTAATAGGAACAGAATTTGAAGATCCATCCACTCCAACCTGCAATGGCCATCCAGCCTCTGATTTAAAAGCCTCCTGAAAAGGAGACTCACTCTGAGGCAGTGTCAAATGGCTCGTATATTCAGTCTTCCTAATATTCAGGTGGAATCTAATTTCCTACTGAAGGAGGGTGAAGTTGAGGTAGACTGAAATGTACTAAAATAACACAACACAGAAGATAAAAATAAATTAGATTTATTTATTTATTTATTTATTTATTTATTTATTTAAAACTTTTCTATCCCGATCTTCTCAACCTCCACAGAGGGACTCAGACCGGCTAACAGCAAGGATTCAATGCCACAATATTTATTTATTTATTTACTTTACTTTACTTGTATACCACAGTTTCTCAGCCCAACAGGCGACTCAACGTGGTTTACAACAAGGATAAAATTCAATCAACGATATACAATTTAAAACCATAAGAGCATAATATACAATATTGACACAACAATAACAACACAATGCATCTCATAACTAGAGTCGTGATCCAATTCGTCTTCGATATTACCATTCCTGTAATCATCACATTCATTGCACTGATTAACCGAATGCCCGTTCAAACATCCAAGTTTTTAATCTTCTTCGGAACACCATTAGCGAGGGGGCTGATCTTACCTCCATGGGAAGGGCGTTCCACAGCCGAGGGGCCACCACAGAAAAGGCCCTGTCTCTCGTCCCCGCCAGCCGCACCTGTGAAGCAGGCGGGATAGAGAGCAGGGCCTCCCCAGAAGATCTTAGGGTCCTGGCGGGCCCTAAAAGTCTAAAACATCATACAATGACAATAAATTAAAATACATATAAAATAAAGTACATATAAGCCATGTACTTACCACCTTTGTTGAGCCCCACGCCCTGCATCACCCGACTCTAGCGGAAGGTGATCTGATAGAGGGAAGCATGGAGCACACACCTTCCCCCCATAGATTCCAGTAACAATGCAGGAACCCTGCCATGGTGGCAACATGCACTGGTTCCACCCTCCTTCACCCATGGAGCCATGCAGCATCATTTGACAGGAGCCAGCAGACTCCGTGGGTAACCTGGGCTAAATCGGCACAAGTTTTTTTATATATATAAACTGAGGTTCCTGATTTCATAATCATCATCATCATCTTCATCATCTTCATTTATATTCCGCTTTGTCTCCCTGGAGGGACTCAGAGCAGATTATGGTACATATCAATGACTTTTAACATGAACAGCAAGATATAATACATAGATAAGGTAAAGGGCTTCCCCTTTTCCATTTCCAGCGTCTGGAGGCAATGCTCAACTTCCAGCCATGGGGAGGTGCTGTTGTTCTATTTTCCATGCCAAAGGAGCCTGCTGATCATAGACATCTCTGATCTTTTTGCCTGAATGTCTGCATGGGGTGCCCCTTTTCCTTCCCGCCAAGGCGGTACCTGTTAATTTACACTTGCATTGCATGCTTTCAAACTGCTAGGTCCCTAGCTATTGATGGATTCCCAACCCTGTTGTTTCTGTGCCAGCATGCTGGATTCTCCTCCTCTCCCCTCTCCACCCTTCCCGCTCCTATTCGCAAGCTGTTCATTTTCCTTTTATTTCACATTTTGAAGCTGTATTTTCCATTTTTGTTTTAGATTTCAAAGATGGAATTGTAAAATTGCTGTGAAAATAAAAAAAATGATCAAAATTTAAATTAAAGCACAGTGGCAATGTGAGAAGAGTGATTATAAGGGTATGTAGAAGTAAGAAGGTAGCATCACAAACTAGCAAATCATCACAATTGCACAGCTGGAGAGAATTGTGATATCAAAGGAACTCAACCTGGGATGTATCGATTATAGTATAGTAGACAGAGTTTGTGTGATAGAGTCCTAACATTGAAAATCACAATAAGCTTAATGCTGGCACACGTTATACTTACCTCCAGACAACTACCTAGCTACATTAATGATTGACACTCAAAGACTGAGTGTTTTTTATTATTATCTCTGTAACTGTCTGGGCTCATATATATACAAGAGGGTAGAGAAGCAATGAGGTTAGAAACAGAACTGGAGTTTTTCATAAAAATAAGCAGTTTATAGGAAATGATTTTTTGACCACATTAGTTGAAGTTGATGGTGTTCATCGTCCTGACATATTGCACATCAGACAGGCATATACAGCCCTGATTCTTTACTCTGTGTGTGTGTTTTAAATAGATCTTGATAATGCTTGAAAACTTAATATATTCAATTGAATTAGTTTGACTGCTTCTGTTCTTCATGTAATATAGCAAATTAAGTCATAGAAATGAATGTACAGGGAGAAAGGTTAAATATAAGCTGTCTAGGACTCAGTTGCAGTATTGATCCCTCCAGCCTGGTATTAATGGCAGCCCAGGGTCTCAGAGGGTGGAGTTTTTTTCCTTCCTCCTTCTTCTCAAATGATTCTAGATGAGGCCCTTCCAAAACAAGAAGAGCAGCCCCCTGCACCCAGATCTTTATCTATACAAAGTATACCTCTACCTTTAAGCTGTGGACCGTCTCCGTTTGGAATATTGACAAGAGTATAATTAATGCAAACTGAATCCATGTCAAATGAGGCAATCATCAACCCCTGGCTCAGTTATCCCTGTAGGAAAGCATCAATGCAAACATTGCAAAGATAACCAGAGAGTTGGATTTATGTTAGAGGAAGCAATGCCATGCTACAGACAACAATAACCCTATGTTGTTGCTGCTGCTGCTGATAAATTCCCCTGCAGATTATAGGAACATATATCAAATGAGACTGTGGGCCTCATGCAATACTGGCTGCCAATAAATTTCTAATTTGAGTGTAAAGTGTTGGCGATAACATTTAAGGCCTTGAACAGCTTGAGATCTCAATAATTAAGGGGACATAGGAAAAGGTAACGGTTTCCCCTGACATTAAATCCAGTCATGTCTGACTCTGGGGATTGGTGCTCATCTCCACTTGTAAGCCGAAGAGCCAGCGTTGTCCGTAGACACCTCCAAGGTCATGTGGTCGGCATGACTGCATGGAGCGCCATAACCTTCCCGCTGGAGCAGTACCTATTGATCTACTCACATTTGCATATTTTTGAACTGGTAAGTTGGCAGAAGCTGGGTCTGACAGCAGGAGCTCACGCCGCTCCCCAGATTCAAACCTGCGACCTTTCAGTCAGCAAGTTCGGCCGCTCAGCGGTTTAACCCACTATGCCACCACATTGTTGTTGTTGTTGTTGTTGTTCATTCGTTCAGTCGTTTCCGACCCTTCGTGACCTCATGGACCAGCCCACTCCAGAGCTCCCTGTCGGCCACCACATATCTCTGTGTAAATGTCTGTTCAAGAATTGAGATCTATGGAAGTGCCCTCTGCTATTTCCCAGCAGAAGGAGAAATGCAAAGGGGATGACATGGAAGAGGGTCTTCTCTGTGGTGGCACCACAATTGCAGAAGGGCATCCTTTTAGATGCCTGAATTTGTTGTTTATTTCCGACTCTTCATGACCTCGTGGACCAGCCCACACCAGAGCTCCCTAACAGCCGTGGCCACCCCCAACTCCTTCAAGGTCAAGCCAGTCATTTCAAGGATAACATCCATCCATCTTGCCCTTGGTCGGCCCCTCTTCCTTTTTCCTTCCATTTTCCCCAGCATCATCGTCTTCTCCAAGCTTTCCTGT